CTGGGCCACCTGGTGCCACTAGGTAGGGGAAGAGTCTCTAGCCTGCAGAGTTAAAGAAGCTTCACATGTTGGTCTGCTAGTGATGATAGTATTCACCTAATGGTGCTGTCCATCTGTCTCTCAGTGGGGAAGGGGAGTCTCAGGAATGTAGGAACAAAGTCTTCATGGACTGCATACTTGTTGGGGATCCTCCTTGTTGATAACCCCTGGCCTCCAGGTGTCTCTCAGTTGGAAGAATGGAATAACACTTCCTTGCAGTAACTTTTTAAGCACTTACTGTATTTCCCCTACAGTAATGGGTGATATTGTTTCAATTGAAGCCCATTTCAAAGTCTACTTTTTCCAAAAAGAAAATTATCAGTTTCTCTGTTTGGGGGTCACCAAACTTTTTCTGTAAATAGTTTAATAGTAAATATTTTGGTTTTGCAAACCATAGGGTCTCTGTCACAATTACTCTACTCTGACATTTTAGCAAAGCAGCCATATACAATACAGAAAAGGATGGGTGTGTTTCAATAAAACTTTAATTACAAAAACAGACAGCTGGCCAGATTTAGCCTCTAGTTCACAGAACCCTGTTCAAAGTTTTAAAATTTATTTACGTAAACTAATGCAGAATAGTTTCTTATTTCTATTTTAAATTTCTCCTATTATGACTATTTTCTCCTTGTCATTTTAGATTTTGTGTATTTGTTCTTTCTTCCTTTTGTTTCTAAGTTACACAATGCTTTGCCTGTTTTGTTGATTTTGTTGATTTTTTTCAAAGACCTAGTATTTAGTTTTATTTAATAATTCCATTTTTTTTGGTGTTTAATTCATCAGTTTTGTTTTTAATCTTCACTAATTTTTTTCTACTTTAGTGTGTGTGTGTGTGGGAGGGGGGTGGGGGTGTGTTTCTTTTTCTAAAATCCTGAGGTGGAAATTCATATGTTTGTTTACATTGCTATTTGGATAAATAATTAATTCTGTAAATTTTCCCCTGATAACTTCAAATATATCATGTTTTTATGTTACAAATAAAAGAAATTTTACAATTTTATTTTTCATTTTCTTTTAGATCTATTAGGATTTTTAAAAAAAAATTCTAAATAAAAATCTTTCGGGTTTTGATTTAGTTATTAATTTTTATTTTTCTTTCATTATGGTCTAAAACTATTAATTTATATTATTTCTAGTCTTTTGAATTTATTGAGTTCTTTTTCTGTACTTTGATATAGTCAACTTCATAAATATTTCATATCCACTTGATGGAAAGTGCTTCCTCCATTATCAGGATTGATTTTGATATGTATCTCTTATCTAAGATCTACTTTGTTGAATATATTATATCTACCTTATTAAATATATCATACTTTTTTTATAGCTTTACCAATACCTTGTCCACTTGATCTGACTTAGATGGTCAAAATTTTCTCTATTAATGTAATTTCTGCTTTATGAAAGTTGGTACTATGTTATTGAATAAATGTAGCCATTAGCACAATGAAGTCTCATTTTGTATTTCTTAATGCATTTGGTCTTAATTCTACTTTCTCAGATTTATAGTATGTAACATAGTGTTCAGTTATTATTATTATTTTAAGTAGGCGCCATGCCTACCATGGAACCAGATGCAGGGCTTGAACTCACGACCCTGAGATCAAGACCTGAACTAAGATCAAGAGTCAGATACTTAACCTACAGAGCCACCCAGGTGCTCCAGTGTTCAAGCATCATTTGTTAACTGGGGACACCTGGGTGGCTCAGTCGTTTGAGCATCTGATGGTTGGTTTCAGCTGAGGTCATAATCTCAGGTTTAGTGGGTTCAGGTCCTGCATCAGGCTCCATGCTGACAGTGCAGAGCCTGCTTGGGATTTTCTCTCTCTCTCCCTCTCTCTCTCTGCCCCTCCCTGGCTTGTGCTCTCTCTCTCTCTCTCTCTCTCTCTCTCAAAAATAAATAAAAACAAAATAAATAAATAATGATTTGTTAACAGGTCTGAATTTTTTTTACTTCAAATGGGTGTTTTAAACTTATTAACATTTTTTGACATGATCAACACATCAATATTTCGTGCCCTATATCGGTTTCTTACATAAAGATATATGTATATATACATAATATGTACACAAATGAGTTAGACTAATACACTAAAAACTTACATTAATATCTTTTTATAGTACCTTTAAATTTGCTTTTGGCTATTGCTTATTGATTCACCACTATGAACTATGTTGAAATTAGCCAGTAACCTTTCCTTTCTCCCTAATTTTTGCACAATATCCAAAATGAAGTTATATTCTTTTATTCCAGGTTAATACTGTTAAAGCAATCAGCAATCTTCTTTTTATAAATACTCTGCTTTCTTTTCTCCATTTGATTATTGTTCCATATCTACATTGCAAGAAAATACAGACACTGCATTATTGACTTCAAAACCTCTCTAATCTTTTGGTTGGCTAAAGCTCATTCTACGGTAAATTACTCAGGTAGAGCTCATGGAAATAATATTTTCTAAATCACTACATGTTCATAGGCATTTATTTACAGCTTTTATGTTGACAGTTGGTTTGTCTACATAGAAAATGTGTCTTAAATTTTCTTTCTTCTGAGTATCTTAAATGCTACTCTATTCCATATCTGGGATAAAGTGTTGCTGTAGAAAACTCTAATGATAATCTTATTTTCTTTCATTATGTATGGTTTTGTTCTTTACCTCAATGCACATGGGATTTGTTTAATCCAGTATTTCTACTAAAATATGCCTTGATGTTTACCTTTCTGTGTAGATTTTTCCAAGTATGTGGTATATATTTTAATAAGTTGCAAATAATCTTTTATTTCAAGAAATTAAAAAAAACTTTTAGTGAGAGTATATTCTGTTCCCTTGGTTTGCTTTTCATATAATGACTCATATATAAATGTGTTGAACCTTCTTTATGAATCTCTATCACTTTCCTTCAAATTTCTTTTTAATCTTCTAATTTTTTTTTTTTTTTTTTAATGAGAGAGAGAGCCTGAGGAGGGAGAGGGACAGAGAGGGGAACAGAGGATTCAAAGCCGGCTTTGCACTGATAGCAGTGAGGCTGATATGGGGCTCAAACTCACGAATCACAAGATCATGACCTGAGCCAAAGTCAGATGCTCAACTGACTGAGACCCCCAGACACCCCCTTTCTAATTTGTTTTTAATTTGTTCCTTCTTTCCATCTTCTACATCTATTAAGGCATTATCAGTAGTGTTATTCATTTTCATATCCTTTGTACTCTATTCTTTTTTTTAAATATTTTTTAATGTTTATTTATTTTTGAGAGAGACAGAGACAGAGACAGAGACAGAGTGCAAGTGGGGGAGGGACAGAGAGAGAGGGAGACAAAGAATCCAAAGAAGGCTTCAGGCTCTGACCTGTCAGCACAGAGCCCGATGCGGGGCTCAAACTCATGAACCTGCGAGATCATGACCTGAGATGAAGTTGGAGGCTTAACCAACTGAGCCACCCAGGTGCCCCTGTACTCTATTCTTTACTTATGAGATGATCGTTTCTTTTTCTCTTCTGAGTCTGTCCCCCATTTTTCCCCAAATGTAGTTTTTCTCCAACTACTTTATATTTTTAAAAATTATAATAGCTTCTATCATTTTCTTAATTTTTGTAGGTAATCTTAAGATACTAGTGTATTCATTTCTTGTCCCTGTTATGACAAATTACCACAAGCTTGATGTATTAAGACAATGTATATGTATTATTTTACAGTTCTGAGTGTCAGAATCCAAAATTGATCTCACTGGGTTAACTTACTTAACTCACTTAAGTTTCCAACAAGGCTGAGTTCCTTCTGGAGACTCTACGTGAGATTCTGTTTTCTTGCTCTTCCCAACTTCTAGAGATTGCCTACATCCTTGGCCTATAGCTGCATCTATGCATCTTCAAAGCCAGTGATTTTGGACCAAGTTTTTCTCCTGCCACCATCTCTCTAATTCTCTGTTTTTAGCCTCCCTTATCTAAGGTCCCTTGATATCACATTGGGCCAACCAGAGTGATTCAGGCTAATCTCCCTATTTTGTTTAGTTTACTCCTGATTAGCAACCTGAGTCTATCTGCAACCTTCTTCTTTGCAATGCAATTCTTCTTTGCCATGCAACCTAACATATTCACAAGTTCAGGGGATTAAGATGAAAATATCTTTAGGGAGCCATTATTATGCCTATCACAATTAGCAAACAATTTTCAAATGTTTGAGGGCATGACATTTTTGCATGTTTTCATTTTCTGTAGAAATCTTATTCTTTTTATTCTCTTGTCTTAGTCATTACACTATATTGGATACAACCATAATCCCTGTAAGTAAAGAAATTTTTCTGATAGTCTGGTATATTTCTCTTCTCTTCTCTTTCCTCACCTGTTTTTTGTTTTTTTTGTTTTTTTTGTTTTTTTTTTTTTTGTCCCTATTGCCTTTATCCTGTTTGTTGAATTCTACTCCTAGAAGTTTCTCCTCAGTACAAGGCTTAGTCTTAGAAGATAGCTTTGTTTTATTTCTTTATTTTTTGAAGTCTATCTATTTATTTTGAGAGACAGCATGAGGGAGGGAGGGACAGAGAGAGAGGGAGAGAAAGAATCTCAAGCAGGCTCCACATTCAGCACAAGCCTGACACAGAACTCAGTCCCACAACCATGACATCACAACCTGAGCCGATATGAAGAGTCAGACACTTAACTAACTGAGCCACCCAGCCTCCCCTCTTTTATTTTTCTTTTTTCTTTTTTTTTTTGTAGTTTTTTTAATACTTTTTAATGTTTATTTTTATTTATTTTTAAAAAATTTTTTAACATTTCATTTATTTTTGAGAGAGACAGAGATAGAGTGCGAGCAGGGGAGGGGCAGAGAGAGAGGGAGTCACAGAATCTGAAGCAGGCTTCAGGCTCCAAGCTTTCAGCACAGAACCTTATGCGGGGCTCGAACTCATGAACCATGAGATCATAACCTGAGCCGAAGTCAGACACTGAAACAACTGAGCCACCCAGGCAACCTTGGAAGATAGGTTTTGTTTTAATAATTTTGAGAGTTTATAAGCCCAGATGCCTCAAGCACCATTAGAATTTATGGTAGTATAATCCATTGTAGTCTTTTTTGAGTTGGATTCTACAGAAACCTGTCATATTCTTTCTGATGCTATTCTCAGATTAGCCCAGTGCTCACCATTCTCAGAACTAACAGATATCCAGTTGTCTTCCTTCTGCGTCTCCCCACACAGGTATGAATACCTTGTATTGTGAACTGTTGGTGGTTGGTCACCACTCACATTTGGAGGTACAGGAAAATATATTTTCATATGTTTTCTTATATGGGTGTTTGGTTTTACCATAGTCATTACTTTGTTTATTTTAATGGATAGTCAGACAGATTCAAGAAATGTGCCATCACCATCTTCCAGATTTCTCTCTAACTTAACCAGCAGAAGAAGTAGGTACAGGAGGCTCAGACTCCTTTTGAGTGGTAAGTGGGGACAAATAATGTTATTTGTTATTGTAGATTTTCTATTTCTTTAACTCCATCTGTTTCATTTAAGGAAGGCACAGTAAGGTAGGAAGGCAAAACTAGGCAACTGTGGAGAGGCAAACAGTTCATTCAGGAGGGCCACTTAAGTGAGAAAACCTTCTCTTTTTCCCACCACAGAAGTTCTTGGTCCAGGTCATAGCTTGGATGCATTCATCAATTTATTTGATAATTCTTCATTTATTCAGATATTTATAATGTAACTCCTATTTCCTGGGTTCACTCTGAAAGATACAAAGATAATGGAAACCTGAAGCTTATTTGCAAATGTCTTGAGTCTAGTATGGAAGATAGGATGAATTTACAAATAACTGTAATATAGATGCTATAAAGGTATGTCCTCATAGAGAGGGCTAATTAATCAGAAAAGTACCAAAATAAATAACAAACTATTATTTTCCCCTCTACCTCATTTCCATCTGAATCTTCTCAACAGCTGAAGAATATGCTTTAGATAGACAGGCAAGCTTTGTTTTTCAAATCCCTCAGAAGAGGGGAGGAGATGGTTTTGTTCATCTGAAGGGATGTTCATAAGAGAGATGTTGTCTCTCAAGGAGTGCTTGTTTAACAGCAATTACCACGTGATTAAGTCCAACATTCTGGCAAGAAAGGAAAACCAAAAATATTCATCATGAAGTTATTCAGTTTTAGAAAAGGGAACTATGGCAAAATTTGGGCTTTTCTTAGGGAAAAAATCCTGAAAGAAATAGTTCTGAAAGTAAATAACCATGAAGAAGTCTGGAGACTGTTTAAGAACAGCTTATTGGAAACTCAGGAAAAATGTTTGACTCAGCCCAAAAAGAGCAAGCATTTGAAAATAAACACTAAATGCCTAAATGGCAAAGGAAAGAAGGCGGTTTAAAAAAAGGAGGGGATAAGGGCAAGGAATCATTTTAGGGAGGAATAGAATTTTCCAGGAAGAAGAGTGGGAATTCTATAAATGTGACAAGTCAAATTTAAACAAATTTAAACAGGTAAAGAGCTACTTAATTACAAGGCACCTTGCAAGAGAATCCAAAATAAAACACTAAGGTCCTTAAACAAAGAAAGGAAAGTAGGTAAAGTATTAACAGAACTTCTTGAGATTCAAGATAAGGAGGCTGTACTCAAGCACATGAAGGCAAAACATTTGCTGTAATGTTCATGAAAAAAGGAATTTTATGAAGATATAGCACTTTAAATTGCATTTTAAACGAAGAATCTGTATCAATTAGCTTTTGCTGCCTAACAAATGACTCCAAAACTTAGCTATTTAACACAACAATGATTGGACCATGATTCAGCAGATGGACAATTTGTGCTGGGATCAGCTGGGCAGTTCTGCTGGATTTATCTGTCTCTCACTCAAGTGGCTGCAGTCAGCTCTTGGCTCAGCTGGAGCTGGATGGTCAGGATGGCCTCACCTACCAGTCTGGCAATCCTGAACTTCTCCTCCCTGGTTCTTATCCATGTGATTTCTGGTCAGGACTGCCACATCCTTGTTAAAAGATGACATGTGCAGCCACAGAGAGTGAGTCTTAATGTATAACCATTCATGTGCCTGGGTTTTGTCTTCCTCATGTCCCATTGGCCAGAGCAAGTCACGTGGTTATGCTCAGATTCAAAGGAGCAAGAATAAAATTCCACCTCTTATTAGAAAGAATGGCAATGTTACATTACAAAGAGATGCGTATATAAGCGTAGCAGGGATTATTGTGGCCATCTCTACAGACAATCCATCATAGTTTGCCCACTAGCCACAGAAGAAACTTTCCTCCCACTTACAAAATACATTCTCTTTCTTCCCCAGAAGTCACTTCTCATTATGGTATTCATTTTGAATTACAAGATCTTCATCTAAATAAGGTCCAGAAACAGATGAGGATCTTTAGACACAGTTCCTCAAATGTGACTCCTCTTTATTCAAAGACTTAGCGCTGAAGTTATTTATATCATGCACACACACACACACACACACACACACATACACACACACATACACACACACTATGTAATAGAAAGAATAGCTAACAGCAATAGATACTTCCACTCAAATGGGAAGAAAGAAATACAGGTAGTCACACTGGTCGGTAGCTATTGTAAAGTCTTTCCAAGTAAACATTAACAAGGGCCTCTACTCCTAGAGAAGGGCATGTTCCTTAATTGGAGCCCAATTTTAATCCCAGGAATGGTTCCCAAGTCCATTGTTCAGTGTAGCTCTAGAAGCCTGAGTCCTATCCATAGAAATTTGGGGCTCAGAGGCTTCTCTTGGTTTCCAACTGTTTCTTTTCTCTTTAGGATAATCTCTCACCAAGTTTTATAAGTTCCCCTATGAAGAGGAATGAAGTCCACTCCTTGTGCCAAAATCTACATCCACAATTTCTTTGGAATAGACACCTCTGTTTGGGCAGCATGTCAGGCTGATATAGGAAAGCACCCTTAAAATTACTGAAAGCTCTTTTGTCCAGCTGAAAGAGTCTGCTAAGCACCACCTTACCTCTTCCGGAGGATTTTTAAAGGATCTGATAGCCATATACTTGATTTACCCTTATCAAGGAGCCATTTCTTATTTTGAGAATCTTTTGCCGTCTGGAGAGGTTGGATGTGAAAACAGCTTTATTTTCCAACCTAGAAATTTGGCTTCCCTCTACATCTCTAAATTCTGCTTGCCAAATCATTCTTTCTTTAGCTCCTCTTTTTCTCACAGTATCATATAAGGTACAGCGAGAAGAAGCCAATGGACGCTTTAACCATTTGGCCATAATATCATTTTAGGCATATCTACAAGGTTATTAGGTACATTTTTAATCCCATGACAGCTATGTCAACTCTTTCATGGCTACATAACATGGGTTATCTTTTTAGCTGGCTATTGCTGTTTCCTCACCACTTTCCTAGCCTCTAACAGCTCATTTGCCTTTTTTTCAGGCTTTGACAGCAGTTTCTGCATTACTTTTTCAGCCTTCATTTCCAATCTTATTCCAAAGTCATTGCTACATGTTTTGAGTTTTGTTACAGCATCCTACCACTTCTGGTACCAATTTTTGTATCAGTTCAATTTTAAACTATTCCCGTAAGAAACTGCCTGGAAGAAAACAAGCATATTTTTTGTTGACCACAATTCTGTAGATGGACTGGGAGTTCTTCTGGTCTGGATCAACTCCCTGAGGATTGGAGAGCCTAGAGTGGCCTTGCTTGGATGACCAAGGCCAAGCTAACCTGGGACAAGTGGGCCTCTTTTCACATGGCTCAGCTCCCCAAGGAAGTTAATCCAGCTTGCCCACATGGCAACAGTTTTTCTAGGACGGGAAGGGAAGGCAAGCCCAATGGGCAAACACATTTCAAGCCTTTGTTTGCATATATCTTATTGGCCAAAGCAAGTCACGTGCCAAGCCCATAGGCAGGGAGTGGAGAAATAAATTCCACATCTTACTCTGAGACACAACCAACCCACACTGAAAAGGTATGTATTTATAAGAATGAGAACAATAACTGTGGCCCTCTTTGCGAACATTTTACCACAAAAGCTAACAATTACAGACTTAACATCAGAAAATGCACACAAATGTGCTAGACTGACTGATAAACTAGACAGAGATAAATCATGTATCTTCAGAAAATCGTCAGGCATAGAGAAAGTGACCATAACATATAACTTGACAGAGATGGCCATAAGGCCTGAGATGTATAACCAGTGATCACACTTTCATTCTATGTGAAGATCACTAGAGAAGATTCTAGGGAGTGCAAAAGATGAGTATCAGTTAATGGAATAATAAACTGGTAGAATCAAGTCCACATTTAGGGGCATATAGGATCACTGAAAAGCAGTATTTTATATGCCCCCACCATACAAACATTCCCTTAAATGTAGCCAAGAGAAGCATATCAAAAGCAATATCAAGGGTACCCTGAAGGGAAAAGAAGACAATATTTCCCAAAATGCCAGCCTTAAACTTAAGGACTGAGATGTGGGAAGCTGGGGTGGAGGTGGGAGCGGGGGGGTGGCAATTAAAGGAAGTTGAAGTGGTATCTCTCCTGACACCCCTAACACATCAGAATTATATCTGCTGAAATGTAACCATAGGAGTGTCTCAGGTAATTTTAACCCCCATTTGGGATAACATTCTTCCTTCTTCTCTTCTAGTTATTTCCCAGGAGGTTTAGGAATTTGTTCTCTGTTGAATTATGGATCTTCCCAGAGCACAAAGTCTGGAGTGATGACCCCAATTGCTATAAACCAGAAACAGCTCTGAGATGGAGCCATAATAAAAAGGTAGAATGTCTAAAAATAACCTAGTAGGGGAAAGGCACCATTTGTAACCAATCTAAAAAATGCTCTGAGAATACATATAGCTATTTCTTTCTTTTGTATCATAGCTACATGAAAAGACTAGAAAGAAAGACATTAATATTATAACATTGGTTATCTTTGTTGTTTGAACTCTATGATATTTCAATTTTTCTTTAGTTTGGATGTTTTATATTATAAATATTTCTTTATAAAATAAAAGCAGATTATACATTAGAAATGACAATAATTAAAAATATGAACTGATTCAATATTAAGTCATATTTGCTTCAAATACTTTGTTATAGAAGCAGAGTATAAAATATACATCCTGAGATTATTCTTTCTAAGGTTAAAATAAATGTCACTCTGGGGCACCTGGGTGGCTCAGTCGGTTAAGCATCTGACTTTGGCTCAGGTCATGGTCTCATGGCTTGTGAGTTTAAGCCCCGTGTCAGGCTCTGTGCTAACAGTTCAGAGCCTGGAGCCTGCTTTGGATTTTGTGTCTCCTCCTCTCTCTGCCCCTCCCATGCTCATGCTCTGTCTCTCAATAATAAATAAACTTTAAAAATTAAAAAAATAAATAAATAAAAATTTTAAAAAGTCACTCTTATGAGTGGATAAATATACAGCCTCTCACCCAAAAATTTACTCTAGGAAACAAATTTTGTTTAGGATTTTAATAAATGATTAAGAATATAGGGAGACATTTTCCAACTGTGTAGATGATTCTGGATGGTTTACTAAATAGAAATCAAGTGGCAAGTGATGGGAAGAATTTGCAGATTGATTACACGATAATATGACATAGACACACAAATGACCAATGAGTTTCAGGGTGGACAAAATAAAAGAAATGCTGAGGTGGCATTTACAGAGCTTGAAAGTTTGAACCCCTTGAAGAGATTACAATGTAGATAAGATAAGGCATGGGACACTGATTAAGTCAGGGAGATACTTGTTCTTACTATATAAATTCATTAACAGATTGCATGAAGATATATTTATGGGAAACAGACATGAGTCTAAACTCATTTAACATTCCCTAGAAAGGTTTTGTTTTGGCTTTGAACAAAATCTTAACATAAAGCCAAAATTAACACCTTTCCTCCTTACCATATTCCCTGTTAAACTCATGTTTTTCAAAAGGTGGGGGATGGGGTAGGGAATAAATAGGCTAACTATACTCCATATCTCTTACTTAATATATTATTATTACCCTCCTCTCCACAACTGTGTTAACATCTATTATAGTGTAACGCAACTGTTAAACATTTAGACAGTGAGACCATCTGGCATAGCCTATATGAGAATTTCTACATTGCCAAACATATTAGAAACCATTTGAACCACATATGTAAGAAAAAAAGGGGTGGGGAAGGATATTTATTCAATCACATAAACTATTCCAAAATATAAAACACAGTGTCAAACAATGTATCAATATCTGAAAATATCTGCTCTACCAAAGTTCGATACTTCTGTAATCATTTTTCCTGTTTTTTAATTGCTATAACCCCAGCCCCTGGAAAATAGATGGTGTATCTATTAGCCACTTAGTAAACATTTGTAAGTGAATTAGTGAATAAATGAAAAATATTTTTGTATGTGAGAAACTTCTTTTTTGAGAAGAGGCAGCTCCAGGGACTCACAGTGCTTAGAGTGGAGTCTCTCCATAGTAACATCTTATCTTTCTCTTTGGGTCCATCCAAATTCTACTGTTCTTCAAACTCATGTCGTGATCTTTATGCTACGTGAAATATGTTAGAAAAAGACAAATACCATATTATTTCACTTCTTTGTGCAATCTAAAAAACAAAGCAAATGAATAAACAAACAAAAAGCAGAGTCACACCTATAAATACGGAGAACAATCTGATGGTTGCCCAAGGGAAGGGGAGGGGGGTAGAGGATGGGCAAAATGGGTGAAGGGGAGTGGGAGATACAAACTTCCAGTTATGGAATGAGTAAGCCTGAAAATAAAAGATACAGCATTGGGAATATAATTAATGATATTGTAATAGAGTTCTCTGGTGAGCACAGCATAACATATAGAGAAGTTGATTCCCTACAGAAGTTGTACACCTAAAACTAATGTCATATTCTGTGTCAATTATACTCAAATAAAAAAAAAAATAAAAATGAAAAAAAAACCTCACGTTGTAATGTAAACCTTTTAAGATTTCTCTATGAGTCCAGACTTCACTAGTCTTCTAACTAGACTTTATCAGTCCACCATATATACATATAACTTTGTTTGACTCTTTCTCAATGTTTACTATTGATACACATTTTATGAATGGACTATAACCTTTTCATGTTGTGTCTTCTTCCTAATTTATTAATACAGAAATTAATAAGGCATGGTCCCTGCCCTTAAGAAGATCCACGTAAAATAAACGAGTTCAGCATGTCAAGCATTATATATGCTTTGGTAGACATTTGGGTTGGTTCTCCTAATCACAATTCCACCCTCCTTGTAGTTTAAGGGATTCAAAATCTAATTTCTAAATTTCCCATATGCACTTGAGGCTAAGTTTTAAAATCTGAGCAAGGACTTGAAGGACAGCTCAAAATAAATGTGGGGTAGCAACCCTCTTCCTGCCTGTATTGATACTGGCAAGCAAGGTCATACAGGTGTGTTGGTGGTGACTGGACTCCATGTCCCAGAGGCTAGTCACCAGCTAATGACCATGAGGGAAAGTGTGGGAGCAGCAAAAATTTCTGATCTCTGGGTAGCTGCTATGATGGTGTGACCTTCAAATCAATAGTCCAGAGTGACTTTTTAACTTCAGTTCCTTCTAACCTTTGGGGATCCAATTCCCTGAATTAAACACACCTTGAAATCACTGGTATTATCCATCTTGCTCTGAACTGTGATTAATCCACATGGTATGGTATGAATATAAAGAATAGAGCAGAGGGGCTCCTGGGTGGCTCAGTGGGTTAAGCGTCTGACTTCAGCTCAGGTCATGATCTCGTGGTCTGTGAATTCAAGCCCCACATCGGGCTCTGCGCTGACAGCTCAGAGCCTGGAGCCTGCTTCGGATTCTGTGTCTCATTCTCTCTCTGCCCCTCCCCCACTTGTGCTCTGTATTTCTCTGTCTCTCAAAGATTAATAAATGTGAAAAATTAAAAAAAAAAAGAGAATAGAGGAGAGACACTAGAAAAGAGCAGTAATAATGGAAAGATAATTGTTCAGCTGAGCGAAGCAGATGAAGGGTGGAAGAACGTAGTGTAAACATGAGAGCACAGTAGTAACTCAGAGTTAAAGACCAGATAGAAACAGAGATAGTACAACAGAATGTTTCTATCAGGAAACTTACAGAAAATCTACCCCAGCCCCATTAGTTAAAAAATAAATAAATAAAATAAAAAACACTCAAAGAGGGAAAGGAACTTTATCTGAAAAATGGGAAGTGTGAGTCTAATGGGCACCAGAAGAAAGAGACCTTCTGATGTCCAATCCATTGCTTATTCAACTTAAAAGATCCTGTAATTTTTATTACACGAAACTGTTGAGAAGTATGTTGGTATTTCACTTCTTATCTAAAAAAAGTATCACAAATCTCAATATGATATTATAGTTGTATTTCTTTTGTTAGTTTTATTTTTTTTAATTCTTTAAAATGTTTATTTATTTGTTTTGAGAGGATGTGTTGGGGAGGGGCAGAGAGAGGAAAGAGAATCCCAAGCAGGCTCTGCACTGTCAGTACAGAGCCCAACATGTGATCTCACGAACTGTGAGATCATGATCTGGGTCAAAACCAAGACTTGCATGGTTAACCAACTGAGCCCCCCAGGTGCTCCTCCATTGTTAGTTTTAAAGGATTAACACAATAGTTACAACTGAGCAGAAAGTATCTTCAAAAGTATATTGAAATGGGTAGCCTCAATAATAATGAGAATCAAATTCTTCTAACCACTTAGGATTCATCTTTGTATTGCCTGTTTTTAAAAAAACATTTCTTGGGGCACCTGGGTGGCTCAGTTGGTTGAGTGTCCAACTTCAGCTCAGGTCATGATCTTGCGGTTCGTGAGTTCGAGCCCCACGTCAGACTGTGTGCTGACAGCTTGGAGCCTAGAGCTTGCTTCGGATTCTGCGTCTCCCTGTCTCTCTGCCCTTCCCTGCTCACACTGTCTCTGTCTCTCAATAATAAATAAACATCAAAAAAATTAAAAAAGAAGAAATAAAAACCATTTCTTGATTACCTCTATTTCTCAGCAAATATACTTCCCTCTATAAACACACCAGACAGAACCAGCAATGCTCCTAATCAAACAACACAAGTCCATGAAGGCAGCATTTACATATGCATTTAGTCTGTAAAATTCCTTCAAAGATACTTATGAATCAACCACACCTTTTTAGAGAAACATACCACAGCTTACTGTTCTCTGTGACACTCCTGAGTCCATGAAAATATAGATTTATTTGAAAATGCTCCTCCTCCTACTTTGAGTATGAGATTTTAACTGTCATCATTAGAAGAGTCAACAGTTTCTTTCTTGGCAAACATTTAACTTACTGAAAAACAATGAAATCTTAAAGTTGTGTGTCTTATTTCTGGAAGAGATGGCAAAATTTTCCTGATCCGAGACTCTGGTTTGAAGTAGTTTAAGTGTTATTACCTTCATTTTACTGAGGTAAGTAACGCCTCTGAGATTACTTTCTCTTATAAAGTCATAAAGTTAGTCACAGGCAGGAACAATGTTTGCTCTTGCATTTCTCTGTCTTTTTGGTTTCAAACACAGAGGAATTCACTCTTCAGGTTCAGCTTCATCCATATCCCAGCCATCCCTAACTACAGTAGAAAGTATACTCAGAGCTGTGTCCAGTATGAGTTACCGAGTATAGGCCCCAAGTACATGCAGACCCACGATCTCCAATCTCCCTAACCTTTACCACGACTATACAATTCTTATGGATGGGCCCCTGCCTTTCTTTACTTGTATCTTCTGGTGTGATTGAAGCCTTGCATGATCCTCAGTCTACCCTTGAAGGTTGAGGGAAAGTGCTGACACCCTTGTTATTCCAATATCCTAGAGACTACAATTTGCCTCCTGGATTCCCAGTTCAGGTTGGGATGTTGTTCCAAACACATGGAATCATCTAGAATTATGATGTCACTCACCAGATCAGAATGTAACAGGTGTCTACACAGCATTCTTTCTTTATTTTAATGTTTATTTATTTTTGAGAGAGACAGAGAGAGAAAGAGAGTATGAAGGGGAGGAGCAGAGAGAGAGGGTGACACAGAATCTGATGCAGGCCCCAGGCTTTGAGCTGTCAGCCCAGAGCCCAATGTGGGGTTCAAATTCATAAACTGCAAGATCATGACCTGAGCAGAAGTCGGATGCTTAACCAGCTGAGCCACTCAAGCGCCCCAACAGAGCATTCTTGAGAAAAGAATGACTTGCATAAAATGGCCAATAAAGATCCAAAAGACATTATTATAATTTTTATTTCTATTTACTTGTATTACATTGTTTCTCTTTAAATTTAAATTTTGGGGTATGTTACCCCAAAAACAAATAATCCAGTGAAGAAATGGGCAGAAAACATGAATAGACACTTCTCTAAAGAAGACCTCCAGATGGCCAACAGGCACATGAAAAGATGTTCAACATAGCTCCTCATCAGGGAAATACAAATCAAAACCACACTCAGATATTACCTCACGCCAGTCAGCGTGGCCAAAATGAACAAATCAGGAGACTATAGATGCTGGAGAGGATGTGGAGAAACAGGAACCCTTTTGCACTGCTGCTGGGAATGCAAACTGGTACAGCCACTCTGGAAAACAGTGTGGAGGTTCCTCAAAAAATTAAAAATAGACCTACCCTATGACCCAGCAATAGCACTACTAGGAATTTACCCAAAGGATACAGGAGTATTGATGCATAGGGGCACTTGTACCCCAATGTTTATAGCAGCACTCTCAACAACAGCCAAATTGTGGAAAGAGCCTAAATGTCCATCAACTGATGAATGGATAAAGAAATTGTGGTTTATATACACAATGGAGTACTATGTGGCAATGAGAAAGAATGAAATATGGCCCTTTGTAGCAACATGGATGGAACTGGAGAGTGTGATGCTAAGTGAAATAAGCCATACAGAGAAAGACAGATACCATATGTTTTCACTCTTATGTGGATCCTGAGAAACTTAATAGAAACCCATGGGGGAGGGGAAGGAAAAAAGAAAAGAAAAAAAAGAGGTTAGAGTGGGAGAGAGAGCCAAAGCATAAGAGACTCTTAAAAACTGAAAACAAACTGAGGGTTGATGGGGGGTGGGAGGGAGGGGAGGGTAGGTGATGGGCATTGAAGAGGGCATCTTTTGGGATGAGCACTGGGTGTTGTATAGAACCTAATTTGACAGTAAATTTCATATAAAAAAATAAATAAAAAATAAATAAATACATTTTGGGGTGTGTTATACAATATACATATGCATTAGTAGTGTAGTTCATATAATAATTGAGTAAATAAATGTGGAAGTTTATATTAGAAGTACATGCTGAAAAAATATGCATGTTCAAGTCAATATGGAGATCATGCTTTAGGAATATAGGCAGCAGAGTCCCTTTATGTGCTTCTAGACAGCTCCATAAAATTGTGGTTCATATCTGCTTGTGGATAGTACCCTCATACTTAGCACTATTCTGCCATATAATAGGTTTTCAATAAATCATTGTTGAATGAATGAAACAATGGATCAATAAGTGACTCAAAACTGGCCTAAATCAAAAGTTACCATGTATCTTTAGATCCTATAGTTGGTTGAACAGTGTGCTCCCACTCCCTATTTCATATCTACCTGGAACCTAGAAGTAGGAAATAAATAGAATTTAAATCTTCTATTTGGAAACAGGGCCTTTGAAGACACACTAGAGGTAAGAATTGAGATGACATCATGCAGGACTAGGTGGGCCCTAAATCCATTCAAAATGTCTTTATAAGAGACAGAAAAGCACACAGAAATAGAGAAAAAGTTTATGTGAAGGCAGAGGTAGGTGGAGACTGGAGTGACACAGCTCAGCTATAAGCCAGGGAATGCCTGGGGTCACCAGGAAACGGCAAGGAAATGTTCTTCCCTAGAGCCTTCAATGAGACCATGGCCTTGCTGGCACCTTGATTTTGTTTGGACTTCTAGTCTCCAGAACAATGAGAGAATAAATGCCTATTGCTTTAACACCAAGTTTGTGGTAATTAGTTGTGACAACCATAAGAAACCAATACAGATATTATATTTTAGATACCAGGCCATTGTCCCAACAAGTTTAGTCCTATTAGATCTGACTCATGTGCCCTTTCCATTGGCCCATTGTAGTGAATCCAACACCTCCTCCAATGGAATCCATTTATGATATAAAAGGCCTCTGGGTGGCTCAGTCCATTACATGCTTGACTCTTGGTTTTAGCTCAGATCATGATCTCACAGTTCGTTGAGTTCAAGCCCCGCATTGGGTTCTATGCTGACAGTGTGGAGCCTGCTTTGTATTTTCTCTCTCCTTCTCTCTCTGCCCCTCTTCTCTCTCTCTCTCTCACTGTCTCTCAATACATAAATAAATAAATAAACTTAAAAAAAAAAAAAAGGCAATACTAGAATCTAGCTCTCCTGACTCTTAGGGTAGCATTCTTTCCACTACCTCTTACTATTTAGCTGAAGAACTTATCACATAAGAAAAAGTTCTCAGAAAGTCTAAGGTGTGGGTATGCATTATGGGTATGTGCCTAAGCATTCATGATGTAACCTGAAACTTTTCGCTCTTAAAATTCTTATGAGGATAAGCTTCTGACCTCTGATATATGCCAGTTCCAGCCAGTTAACAACAATCATAAGACATGTTACAGTTTATTTTGGTACTTGATATTCTGGTCACAGCAATAACCAGGAAATGAAGTTACTTTTAAAAAAATCAGCTTTGTCATTATTTAACATTATTGAGCACTTATCATGTGCATGCATTTATATAAATAAAAATTTAGTTGAATTATAAATCATTAAAATTGCTTGAAACATTCAAAAGAAGAATCAAATTTTATTCTACTTGTAGCAAATATTTTTGATCTACCTTTCAACTCTCTATTAGCCTATATAAACAAAACAATTTGCTTAAAGCAGTAGGTGACCAGAAAGTCTTTCATACACTTTAGAGACAACTTACATGAACACAGCAGTGACTGTGCTTGGCAGAGAAGAGGTGCTCAGGAAGTGTTGGAGCTATTTTTCTGGATTAAAAAAGATTATTAGGGGTCCCTGGGTGGCACAGTTGGTTAAGCTTCCAACTCGATCTCTGCTCAGGTCATATCACAGTTCATGAGCTCAAGCCCCATGAGCTGGGCTCTGTGCTGATGGAATGCGGCCTGCTTGGGATTCTCTCTCCCTTTCTCTCTCAGTGCCCCTCCCTCACTTGTGCATGCCCTCTCTCTCTTTCTCTGAAAATAAAATAAGCTTTAAGAAACAAATTAAAATATGAAAATTAGCACTCAGAAAAGCCCCTTTGAATTTAATTGTTCATTTGCTTGTTGTTATTAGTTACTTTGGATTTGACTGAAACTATCATATCTTCTGGATCTTGAGCTTATTTACAACTTGATTTTGAGCATCCAGAAAGAATGTTACTGGTGATGTGGAAATGTCGGGATTCTGTGGACATGATAGGCTTATGTTGGGTGTAGCAACCACATGGAGAGGGCACATCAAGCCAAGGCCAATGAACTCCAGTTGGTCAAAAACACAAGATTTTAAAAGAGGAAAAGAAACAAAAGAGGTGTCATCCCAAGGATAGTCATTCCAAAAGCATGAAAGATTAAGAAGGATAGAAAAGTTTCAAAGTGAAATTCTTATGAAGTCACAAGTGATCAGAATTCAGTTTGGCTGAGATCCACAAACCTGAACTAAGCACCTCCTATGAGCCCAGCAGTGGGTGAAAATGAGTAAAACTTGGTGCCCTGAGCTGTAGTCTATCGAACTCTTTAGAATCTCTTTCAGAAAGACAAGAAGGAAGAATCCGAAGAAGCCTTTGTGTCTATGCATGGTGCAATTGGTTGACCTCTGCTTTAAGAAGAAACCCCAGGGAGCAAGTCTTTCATAGATTCATAAGGGTTTAGTAACTGGCATGCATTTTTTTAATACACATAGAAAGTCCCCAGTAAATGAGTGTTTTTTGTGTGTTTTACTCAACATACAAATTAATAATGTCTGAACAAATGGGCTATAAAAGCAAAGATTAATATCACACAGAAAGAGCCAAGAACAAAGACTCTGTTAGAAGCGTGACATGAAGGCTGACATCCAGATGTCAGTTAAAAAACAAAACAAAAGCTAAAGATCAAGCAATGTCTGGGGACAGAGGCAGAGGCCTCAGGGGCAGCCTCCATTTTCTCTGGAGGGTTCAGGATGACTTGGGGAATGCTTAATCACAGCCCATCAGATGGGTTGAACAGTAGTTATGCTGGAGGAAAGCCCATGGGGTTGTGTTGTAGGAGTTTGTTTTAAGGATGCCCTACACTGACATTTATATCAATTACTTGACTAACAATATAGAAAAAAATTCCATGAAATGCGGCTATGTCAGAAAGATGTGAGGGCAAAGAGAGGATTCAAATACCAATTGATGGAACCAAAAACTACACTGATTGGCCAAGTCAGTGTGTATAAAATTACACAGAGTATAAAGTTTCATGTTAGGGTCAAAAGGTCAATCACATTAGTACAAAATGGGTGACCTAGTTCCTAGGAATTTATGTTGCCATTTATTTTTTACTTGATCCTAAGTTTTCATAATTCATGGAGGTGGACACAGGGCACAGGCTACCCTATGAGTCTACATGTAAAAAAATATAATGCCCAAATTAAATCCTTTTTTATCCTACATGGCTTCAGATTTCATCATAGGCCTATTGCTCCCTGTTATGAGTTTATAATAAAGAATCTACAGCAAGGAATCAGAAAGGTTTTGCCTACAGGAGAAATCAATTCAAGAAATCGGCAGCGTCTTCAAACAGCTGAAAGTATCATGTGGAAGAAAGATTTGACTAATTATAGGAACTAGAAGAAAGATGATGGGCAAGAGTA